CCTGTCCCTCTTGCCGCGCACGGCATGTTTCCCACATTCCTTGCCACCTCCATAGGTAAAAATGTGTCATTTACTTGCAATGTGGTCCCAAGTCTACAACGAGTAAAACCAGAAGGACCACTGGTTTTCTTGTTTGCCTTTTGGGAATGGAAATGTATTAGCTTTGGATTGCATTTCGTTCCCATGAAATAAAAAGCGACCTGCTTTGGAGCTGCCATTTCTACTTTGTTTCCTATAATGTCCGTACACCTTAAACTCTCTGAATGCGTCCACCTGTCCACCAGTGTTTTTGCCACCCCTTGCAGGAGCGATTCCAGTTCCCGTCCCATGTCACGGATGTTTCTGAAGAAGCGAAGGACCTCATCCAGAGACTGATCTGCAGTAGAGAGCGCCGGCTGGGGCAGAATGGAATAGAGGATTTCAAAAAGCATGCGTTTTTTGAAGGTCTAAATTGGGAAAATATACGAAACCTAGAAGCACCTTACATTCCCGACGTGAGCAGTCCCTCTGACACATCCAACTTTGACGTGGACGACGATGTGCTGAGAAACACGGTGAGTGGAAAGCACCGGTCTCGGGCTTGCTGGCTGTGGGTCTAACGTGCGGTGCTGCGCTGAGCGCGTTGCTTATCGAGTCAGTACAGCATAAAGCTGTGAAATTTGGCTCTTAAGACACAGTGTGCTTTTTATTCCAGTCTTCAGCTGGGTCGTTAATATTCCTTTAAAAAATGATGGATGACTCAGTTTGAGTAAAATTGAGTTAAACAACTCTTTTAAAGTTTTGGAACTCAACAGAAATACTTTTGCTTTTATTTTCACGGTACTTGATACTTTTTTTTTTTTTTTTTTTTTGGAGGCAGAGTCTTGCTCTGTTACCAGGCCTGGAGTGCAGTGGTGCGATCTTGGCTCTCTGCACTCTGCAACCTCTGACTCCCTGGTTCAAGCCATTCTCCTGCCTCAGCCTCCCGAGTAGCTGGGATTACAGGCATGCACCACCGCACGCAGCTAATTTTTGTGTTTATAGTAGAGACGAGGTTTCACCATGTTGGCCAGGATAGTCTCGATCTCCTGACCACATGATCCACCCACCTCTGCCTCCCAAAGTGCTGGGATTACAGGCGTGAGCCACCGTCCCTGGCCTACTTGATACTTTTCAAAGCAGTGTCACATACATCATTGTATTAGAGCTTCACTGCAACCCTGTCACCGCATTTTAGATTTTTTAGGTTGAAAGACGCCAAGACATGAGCTCAGCCTACAGTCCCATAGGCAGTGTGGCGGCCTCTCAGTTCCTGGTCTTTTCCCTGCATGTGAGAGCACGTTAAATCTTTCTAACATTACAGTGCTTTGTGTCTGCATTGATGTTTCTTTATACAGCAAGAGTTCAGAACAAAGATGATGATAACAGATGTTGAGTCTCCGCACTGATGTTTAAGATCAGGATTTTCAGAGTTGGGTTCTGGCTGTGGGACTCATCTGGTGTCCCCATCAGCTCTGACAGGGCCTCTTTGATGCATTAGCCGGTACCTTTGGTCCTGGTGAATTTTGCTCATATCTCATAAAATGCTTTTGTTCTCATCAAACCCATACATGTGTGACTTGTCTGGGGATAGACAAACTGAGATTTAACCAAATAAAAGGAAAATCTTCTTTGTTGCTTGTTAATTTAGAGAGTTTCTTACACTGAAGCATCATCATTCACTCTGTATGTTTCATTCCCAGGACCTCTCGAAATGAATGGCCATGAACCTGGGGAAACTCCTAGTAGTTTGACGGGAGGAACAGAGGTTCTTAGGAACTATGAAGTAGCCCTTGTAGGGCCACGGAAAAGTTCTCTCTGGGCCGGGCGTGGTGACTCACCCCTGTAGTCCCAGCACTTTGGGAGGGTGAGGCGGGCGGATCACGAGGTCAGGAGTTCGAGACCAGCCTGGCCAACATGGTGAAACCCCGTCTCTGCTAAAAATACAAAAATTAGCTGGGCATGATAGCAGGTGCCTGTAATCCAGCTACTTGGGAGGCTGAGGCAGGAGAATTGCTTGAACCCAAGAGGTGGAGGTTGCAGTGCCCGAGAATACGCCACTGCATTCCAGCCTAGGTGACAGAGCAAGATTCCATCTCCAAAAAAGAAAAGTTAAATCTATTTGCACTGAATACTTGCTTTGATGGCTTCACATTCAAAATAAGGGCTGAACTTGAGACCACATGGAGAAAAGGCTGAGAAAGAGGTATTGTTGTCATTGAAAGGATTGTTTTCTTAGACTCTAACTCCAGACTCCAACTCCTTCCACACTGAAATTTCCCAGATGAAGACCTTTGCTTATATTTTTTATTTTTTGAGCCTGGTCTCGTTCTGTCACCCAGGCTGGAGTACAGTGATGCAACCTCAGCTCACTGCAACCTCAGCCTCCCATGTTCAATCAAGTCTCGAGCTTTGGCCTCTTGAGTAGCTGGGATTACAGGTGCATGCCGCCACATCCAGCTAATTTTTGTATTTTTAGTAGAGACAGGATTTCACCATGTTGACCTAGGCTGGTCTTGAACTCCTGGTCTCAAGCAGTCCACCCGCCTCAGCCTCCCAAAGTGCTGGGACTACAGGCATGAGCCACTGTGTCTGGCCCCTGGTTATCGTTTTTGATAAAGAAAGATCCTCAGAATGAAAAACAGAGTTATAATAAACTTATCTAAAATAGTCTACCTTTGGCTTCCTTTTTGCCTTGGGGCCTCTTGTCTCAGGTCAAGAACCTGAGAGTCCCCAGGCTCTGTCCTGTGTCCTCAGAGGGGCATGCCTGTCCACACTGTTGAACTCTGCACACAGTTGTGTTAAGCAATGGATTCTGTGGCTTTAAGAAGTCTTTGAAAATCACTAACCTGGTAACGGCCTGTGCCATTGTCATCATCAAAATCAGTGCATGTATCCTGTGAGCTTTATTGTACATACAGTGAATGGGGCCAGGCTTGAGAAAGACAGATCTGCCATACTCAGCTCCCCTGCAGAGGACATCATGGAGTCTGCATTCTCCAAGGCCACGTGTTCTGCCCAGTGCCTCCCGTCACCATGACTATAACCGTCTTTCCTCTTTTTACCTGTTGGTGTGAATGTAGATTTCATTTGTGTTGTGTATGTTCTTATGCAGGAAATATTACCTCCTGGTTCTCACACAGGCTTTTCTGGATTACATTTGCCATTCATTGGTTTTACATTCACAACAGAAAGGTACGTCTAGATTTATCATTCCCCAGGGAGAGCCTTCCCTTGTGGTAGATGAACAGTCAGACACCACACTCTGTCCCTAGGAGCGGGCTGGTGGGTGGGGTGTGTGCTGGGAGGCCATTACTTAAGGGAGATGGAGATGGGTTTTTGTTCTTAAAATATACACACCTGATGACTACAGGTGTTACCATAGCAAGGTTGCAGGCTTTTTCTCTACAGATATCCAAGTCGTAAAGAATTCAGGTTTCATGGCCTTTGTTGTATGTTCTTCTATTTACAACCCTTTAAAAATATTAAAACCGTTCATGCTCATGATGGTGCAAAAACAGGCCCTGGGCAGGATTTCTCCCAGAGGCCGTAGTTTGCCGACCCCTGACCAATAGGCCACCACCGTTGGCAGGGTTAGCTCTGATCCAGTCGGTGGCTGCAGCAGGCAGAACAGTTGCCGCACGCACTCAGCTGAGAGCTGGCTTCAGTCAGAGCACTCTGCTGCCTTTTGTAAGGATTGTGTGCCGTGGGCTCCTGTCCCAAATGGGCCTCTTTGCAAATTTGTGTCGCCTGAGATGGTCCACCTCTATTTTAAAAGGAAACTGGGGCCGAGAGGAGAGGGGTTAGGAAGAAAGGGAGGTGGGGGAGGTGAAATGAGACAATGGAAGCTCCCACTGTGCCACAGAATCTAATTCCCAGCGTCTTCTGGCAACTGGAACCACAGTTGAAAATGTCTTGAGAGGGAGCTATCCCCATACTTTTTTTATTTTATTTTATTTTATTTGAGACGGGATCTTGCTCTGTCGCCCAGGCTGGAGTGCAGTGGCGCAATCTCAGCTTACTGCAACCTCCGCCTCCTGGGTTCTAGCAATTCCCCTGCCCCAGTCTCCTGATTAGCCGAGACTACAGGTGCCCGCCACCATGCCCGACTAATCTTATTTTAGTAAAGATGGAGTTTCACCATAGTGGCCAGGGTGGTCTCGATCTCCTGACCTCATGATCTGCCCTCCTTGGCCTCCCAAAGTGCCAGGATTATAGGCATGAGCCACCACACCCGGCCGACATCCCCATATTTCTACTTTAGCTTGGAGGAAATCTCTTTTGGTGTGAGAGGCCAGGGTTGAACAGCCCGTAAGCCGAAGTGACCGCTGCTGTCTTCCCGCCCGCAGGAGGCTTTCTGGGTGGGCATATTGATTTACCAGCTGCCAGTGCAGAGGTTCTTGACCTTTCTGGTACATCCCAGCTCACTGAGAGCTTGTTACACTTGCAGGTCCCAGGCCCATGGCTGTAGTTTGGCCAGATAGGCCTAGAGCTCTCCTCTTGACAGACCCCGCAGGGCTAGAGCAGCCCAGCACCCTCAGACCACCTGTGGAGAAACACCAGGTCTTCTGTGAAGGGGGCTGGGTGCCTTTATGGGACTCAGCATAGGAGCTCAAAATTTTCCCGACTTCATTGTCACATAAAGAGCTAAGCAGATCTGAGTAACTCCTAAAGCAGCCCAAAAATTAAGCTGTTAAATGAGAGCCATCCTGGGCTTCAGCCTGTGCCTTGGATGTGCACGTCATCGAGTGGTCTGGTCCTTGTTAGGGGGCTTAGCATGCTGGTCAGTGCTAGAATTGGTGGCTTAGCCTGCAAGGGAAGAAGGGTTGAAAGAGCTGTCTGGATTGCTTGGCCAGTTGGTGGCCAAACGAGGAAGCTCTATGGTCCGTGCACACTGCTGACCTCCAGACAGGAGCTGGGGCTGCCCTTTAAGCCTTGCTTTATGCAAAATCCATGCTTTCTGGTTCTGCGTTTATAGTTAAGTGTGAGGGATGATTCAGAAATGTCATTTCCCCTGCTTTGCAGAGGCGCTTTCTTTGACCAGCAGTGAGGAGTGCCCTTGTCAGTGTGTCCTTGACCATCCGGTCAGTTATCTAACTTTGGCTCCATAAACAAGAAAGTCTTTTCTTGGGTATTTTTGTTTGCCAATTTAAAAAGACTACGTTTCACCCCAGGAAGTTTGAAAATGCTAATGAAATTGCTGAATTTTCAGTAGATCAAAACCTGTTGCTTGATTTCCCAGCTGTTTTTCTGATCGAGGCTCTCTGAAGAGCATAATGCAGTCCAACACATTAACCAAAGATGAGGATGTGCAGCGGGACCTGGAGCACAGCCTGCAGATGGAAGCTTACGAGAGGAGGATTCGGAGGCTGGAACAGGAGAAGCTGGAGCTGAGCAGGAAGCTGCAAGGTGAGGACGGCGTTGTCTCTGGGGCTGGGAGCGGGCGCTGTGGCCAGGCTGCACCTCACGCTGTCTCTCCATCCCTCAGAGTCCACCCAGACCGTGCAGTCCCTCCACGGCTCATCTCGGGCCCTCAGCAATTCAAACCGAGATAAAGAAATCAAAAAGCTAAATGAAGAAATTGAACGCTTGAAGAATAAAATAGCAGGTATGTTTAAAAAAGTATGACTTCTTAGTCTCTTTTTTTGGTCATTACCCTCTTAAAAGGGAATTTCAGAGTCCTTTTCATAAGGTGGGAAAGCAGAAAAAAAGCTTAGGCTTTAGCAAGCTTATTTAGAGTTCTGAAATTTTGGTCAGTTTTTTTTTTTTTTAGACGGAGTTTCACTTTTGTCCCCCAGGCTGGAGTGCAGTGGTGCAATCTCAGCTCACTGCAACCTCCACCTCCCGGGTTCAAGCGATTCTCTTGCCTCAGCCTCCCAAGTAGCTGGAATTACAGGCATGTGCCACCACACCCGGCTAATTTTGTATTTTTAGTAGAGACAGGGTTTCACCATGTTGGCCAGGCTGGTCTCGAACTCCTGACCTCAGGTGATCTGACCACCTCGGCCTCCCAAAGTGCTGAAATTACAGGCGTGAGCCACCGTGCCCAGCCCCAACTGGCTTAGTTCTAATGATATTATTTTATAGTCACCAGCTAGAATCAATTCCCGATATTTTATCTGAATGTTATCTGGCTATTTTCTGCTTCTCTGTTACAGTTTTCCTCTTTGTGGCTCTCAGACAGAGTCCCTAGAACTGCTTTCCTCCTAAAGCTTAATCAGTGACTTGGCCTGCTCCTTGGTGTTGTAGGTGCTAGACCTGCCGTCACCACTTTCTCTTGGTGGTTCCTGGGTTATCAAAGTTCCCTAAAGGCTCCAGTCACTTTTTTTGTTTGTTTTTTTTTGAGACGGAGTCTCGCTCTGTCGCCCAGGTTGTAGTGCAGTGGTGCGATCTCGGCACACTGCAAGCTCCGCCTCCCAGGTTCATGCCATTCTCCTGCCTCAGCCTCCCAAGTAGCTGGGACTACAGGTACCCACCACCACGCCCGGCTAATTTTTTGTATTTTTAGTAGAGACAGGATTTCACTGTGTTAGGGTGGTCTCCATCTCCTGACCTCGTGATCCGCCGACCTCGGTCTCCCAAAGTGCTGGGATTACAGGCTTGAGCCACTGCGCCCGGCCTGACTCCAGTCCCTTTTAAGCCTTAACCTCACACAGGTTGGCTCTGCAGTTGACCTTCACCTGCAAAGCACACTTCGAATCTCTCACCTTCTCTGCGTTTCCTATCAGGAACCTCACTGCCCTGATCCAAAAACGGACTTCTTGGATTGAGTCACTTACTAAATAAACCTTTCTTGCACACTGAAAAAGGACAAGGGCCAGGCACTATGCTGGGTGACACAGGTTAGAGGGACTGAGCAGACGAATGTGTGTGCCACCCAAGGGCTCCCAGTCCTCAGGGGAGATTCCTGTCAGATCAAAGTCTAGGGAGCGTGTTCAGCACAGGTGTGCAGGTAGCTCTGCCCGTGACACTGTGTGTGTGTGTGTGTGTGTGTGTGTGTGTGTGTGTAAGTAAAAAAAACCGTTGAATGGAAAAGAGTGTTGTGAATTATTAAATAATTTCCTATCAGTAAGTCAGCTAACGTAAAGTTTGCATATAGTCACTGCACATAAAGGAACACAGTTTATTTCCCCTTTTACCCAGATTCAAACAGGCTCGAGCGACAGCTTGAGGACACAGTGGCGCTTCGCCAAGAGCGTGAGGACTCCACGCAGCGGCTGCGGGGGCTGGAGAAGCAGCACCGCATGGTCCGGCAGGAGAAGGAGGAGCTGCACAAGGTAGGTGGCTCAGTTCAGGGTGGGAAAGGCTTACAGGACCTTGCAGAGTTTTGTAAGGTCACATTCATGTAGACGGTGGAAGGCCTCTTGGGACTTCTGCCCATGGGCTGTCCCTGCTGCATGCAGGACACCAGGGCCAAGCATGGCCCCGGGGCCCCTGCCACACCTGCCTGCTGCACAGCCTCCGTGTCGGCTGGCAGAACTTGGGTCCCAGTGGCAGGTGCCTTCCACCCCCTCGCCCACAGCGGGTACCCACCTCATAATCAGCCTTTCCAGTCTCCACTTCAGACCCACAGAGAAAGCAGCACCCGACTGCATTCTACATTGTGCAGCTCCTCCTTCTCCTCCTTCTCATGTCCATAGGGCATGGTGGCCGTGGCAGCACACGCTGTGTCTGGAGCCAGGCCCTCCCCTTCTCTCCACCAGGCCTCTGCTGTTAGAGAGGGCCCCTTAGTAATGACAGGGAACTGCAGCAGAGGCCCTGTGTTAAAATCTGGGTGATTTCACCCCATAATTCCTTTATAAATTTCATTTTTAGTAATATATGGAAACTTTTATGCTCAGGTGCCAGCATGTTAGTTATATACATGTTTTCTAAAATACATTCATTGATACATGTTATCCTTGAACCTGTAGTTGTGATCTGTTCTCTAAAATGTGCCAGGTATCAAACCCAAATTGTTTCTTAAGTTGATCTGTGGTGTCATCCACCTGAGTGACTTGTCGAAGTGCAGTGTGGGGTGTGTGGCACCTCATTGCTTGACAGGGTCATAGTACCTCCCAGTGCGCCCGGAGAGGCCTGGGGAGGCCTCCCGTCCGCGTGTGGGCAGCTGCTCTGCCAGCTTGCTCAGGGTCTTGTCACTTCCATCTCAGACGAGCAGGTGCAACAGTGACTGAACTGCCAGGTAGTTGACCAGATGGGCTGCAGGGAGGTCAGGGTCATCAGTGTGGTGAGTGCAGAGTGACAGCCAGCATCCGCACATCA